AAAAATTAGAGTTTTGATTCAAAATTTCCTAAGATATAAGTGAATTTGCATATTGGTGCTAAAATTACTTGAAAGAATAAACGATGCATCTTTTTTCTCTCTCTCGTGCGCAGTGAAATGGAAAAGAAAATAGGCTACCATATATTAAGAAGTTCGCCAAGTGAATTACTCTTGGCGAAAACTGAAAATAATGCGCCAAGATAAATTTTTGAATTTCTCCGCAAATTTGTGCACCAAATTTTACAAAAATGAATATTTAGGCATAATTTGAGTCGTAGAATTGAAATATTAAAATAAAAATTGGTATGTTATTTTAGAAAAAGTCCGATTTTGTGTCAAATACCTATGTTAGAATAATGCTATATATAAATCTAATATATATCCTAAGTCGCGCTTTCAAGACATGAGAAACGAAATTTGAATTTCGTCAATCAGCCCAGTAGAACAGGAGATATAGAGCTATTCCTTTTTTTTTTTTTTTCGTGTGCAGTGTAAATTTTTTCTTCTTCGCTTTGGTATAATATATAAAACTTTTTTTATTGCAGGTATTTAGGCAAATCTATGCTTCATCAAAGGTGAAGGGGTATTTCCATTTATCTCCTGTTGAATTCTGCAAATGATTGAGGATTCAACAAACAACAATCAGAAACAGTACGTATATTTTTCGTATATAATTGCTGGAAGTCTTCGTTTGATGTAGAAGTAATGATTGATGCGTTGCTTATTTTGCGCTTAGAAATCCTAACACTATTTATTTCAAAACGTTTTTCGAATTATGAATTAGGAATATTTTTCTTCTGAGGACGCACAGTATATTCAATTCGCAGCTTGCTTACATGCAAGCTGCATGCTTACATGCATTACATTACGTTTTGAAAGAAAAATAACTACGTTAGAAAAATAAGACGTTGCAGACGATATTCTCATTTTAAATAATAAGCTGTTTACAGCAATGTTTATCGCAAAGCATTTGCTTTTTTTTAATTCGCTATAGAAATCGTTCTGAAAATGTGTAAACACCATCTGTATGTTACAATACATTATTGTATACACCGTGTCCTTGTCAGCCTTTGTTTTCACAAGCATTGTTCGTAGACATATACCTCCAGTCACAAAATGTTTTAAATGATACATGTATTTATGTTTTCGTATTTTAAAAATTAAATAAATTAATTTGTTAAAGTTAGGAACTCTAACTTGTTGTTCCTGTTCGTATAGTTTTACAGAGTGGTCATGAAAAAAACTTCCCCGATATATGAACTTCTTTAGCAGCCTACGCGCTCAAACAATCGAAATGAAATTTCAGATATCGTTCTTTGAAGGTATGTGCTTGAGACTGCAATGGTTTAAAATAATAGAGCTCTCGCGATTACGATTACAGTGAAAAAAATTCGAAATTTTCGAATAGCAAAACATACGTGTTTTCTGCGCAGTTTGATCAGCCTATTAATAAACCACAGATGGCGCTGGAAGGATCCACGTGCGCAAGGGCACTTGACATAAAGAAATCCGGACGTGGAAAAAATCTCAAATGAGAAAACGGAGAAAAGGGGAAGAAGAGAAGTATCAAAAGGAGCAGGACAATCCAATTGGACAAATTCGCAAAACGTGACGAGCGATCATAGCTTTCAAGGAGGACCCAAGACAATGCAAATCAATGACAACAATATGAGAAGATACACTACAGCAAAGTTCCAATGACAAATTCAAATACAACTAAACAACCTCAATCAATAGTGCTAAATATTGTACAACACAATACAAAAAAACTATACAGCACAATTTAAATACAACTATTCAACGCAATACACTACAGCAACTCAACAACAACCTAAGCAACCTATTTACAACACTACTATATCATCACAGTGCGAAAAATCTCACAGCATTAGTTTTATCAATTTCCAAGAATAATATTCAAGCTACAGAAGAACTTCAATCAAAATCAGAGGCATTGGAAGTATAAACACATACCAATTGAGGAGTTAACTGAAAAAGTTGTCGTCTCCTCCCATGAAGGTATGAGCTGCAAGTGGTCTGACGCTTCTATCTTCGAAGAGAATTTCATAATTAAAGACTTGGGAGTAATTAACAAAGTCACATTGCACAGCTTTGTTGACGAATTTTTCATTAGATCTTCTCATGTTATCTGGAATCGTCTCAGTCTCCGTGTAAAAGTTTATTGCGGATAAGATAGTGTGAATCAGTAATAATGCGCAGAAATTTGTTTTGTAATACTTGTAATTGATGTATTTGAGTTTGAGTGACCGTGTTCCAAGCAGGAGCATCATAAAGTATCGGTCGAATGCAAGTATATATGTATATGTTTTTTGGTACGCAAGCTAAGATTTGAATATTTTCCAATGACCGGAAGAAATCTGCATATTATGCCCATGGCTTTGCTCTTGACACTATTAATGTGATTAGACCATGTGAGGCTTTGGTTTAAAATAATTTAAAATAATAATAGAAAGTGCGGCTCTGCAAAAAGGAGAAGATCAGAAGAAGGAGTTCTCTAGGAAGTTCGAAGTTGATAAGCTTGAAGACGAGCTCCTCATGCCAGACGCGGTCAAAGGCTTTTGCCACGTCCAGCATAAGGAGCGCAACACTTTGCTTGTTATGGAATGCAGATCCCACAAATTCTACAATTCTTACTAGTTGTCGAGTAGTACTGAGGTTTTTTCTGAATGCGTACTGATCATTAGGTAGCAGGTGAAGAAAAGGTTCCAATCTTGTGAGAATAAGTCTTACATAAATTTTACCTAGGCTGGATAACAAACTGATTGGATGATAGCCATCAGGCTTGGTCACATCTTTACCCAGTTTGGGAAGAAGAAAGATCTTGGCCTGCTTCCAAGGATCAGGGAAATAGTTGAGAGTAAGACAAGCGTTGAGAATACTAGCGAATTTACTGATAAGTTTTCTAGGTAAGTTACGAAGAATTTTATTAGTAATTTGATCACTTCAAGGAGCTTTTTTGATATTGAAATATCTAATAATATTAGTCATTTCCATAGGAGAAGTAAGCGTTGGGATGGTATGAGCCGAAGAAGAAGTTTTCGTCATACGTGGATCGTTCAAACGCCGTACGGTTTTTCAATGCGCTGATCAGCTTGCGCAGAAAGAAGTGGGTGCTGCCATTCGAAAATTTTAAAGTATTTTCACTCTAACCATAACCATAAGAGCTCTATTATTTTGAATCAGCACAATCTGGAGCGCATACCTTTAAATAGCTATATCTGAAACTTCATTTCGATTGGTTGAGTGGATAAGCCGCTAGGAATCCCAAGGAAATTTTTTCATGACAATCCTGCATAAGTATAATAACCAGAAGAACATATGAAGAGCGATCGACCGAGTCGGGAGCTGTACTTTAGTTACAGCCTGATAGCCTGAACGCTGTTTTGCTGATCATGTCAGCGAGTTGTAGTTTTTCGTCGACTGTAACTTCCTGTATAATACTGACGTTGTGTTTTGATCCTTCATCAGGTGTTGTCATCAATCACTTCATATCCACGAACCCGTAGAACGTAACAATATAAATACATGCGTCACTTGATATTTGTGACAGGAAGTATATGTCTACGAACAACCTTTGTGAAAATAAAGGCTGGGTAAGGACTTTGGTGGACATGGAATATATTGTTATTTATATTATATAAACTCATTAGTGCAATATTTTATATAAAAGACAGAGACAGGAAGATTTTGATTCATGTACTGCAATCTAAATAGAACTTAGTTTAAGTCAAAAATTATCTACACTTTTGTCATAACCTTTCTTACATTGCGCATTTTGTCTTCTGGCTTCGCATACTTTATTGTTATGCTGTCGTGGTAATGCTGTGAAAGTTTGATCTTAATTCCTTCATTTTTCTTCCTTCTGTTGCAGATATATCATGGTTGCTCCATTAGAAGTTTACACTAAAAAGGAACAACGACCAGTGATGCTTTGATGGGCAGAGCCATGACTGGTGTTCAGAGCAGATGCTACCTCATCGATAGTGATTCGCCTATTCGCCATAACCATCTCTCGACCTTGCTGAAATGTTGTCATCTGTAGTGGAGGTTGATGGCAGTCTCGTTCCCTGTTCATACGTTACACTTGTTCGACCACTTTTAAACATCTCGAGCCTCAAAAACACAGTTTTAGTGATAATGCACTTCTCCCATATTGCGATGGATGTCTGACCCTTTGACACACCCCGACTAGAGCAATTGGATCACTGTTCGTTGTTCCTCTTTGGTGCAAACTGCTAATGGAGCAGCCACGATATATCTGCAACAGAAGGGATAAAATTGGAGGAATTAAGATCAAACTTTCACAGCATCACCACAACAATATGCGAGGACAGAAGGCAAATTGCGCAATGTAAGAAAGATTATGACAAAAGTGTAGATAATTTTTGACTTGCCTACATATTTATAAAATATTTATCAGTTGCATTCGTCTACAAAATTTGCATAACCAATTTTGAAAATTTTTTACCCAAACAGTTGCAAATTTTAGCAAAAATTCTACAATCCATGAAAAGTCATTTATAAAAATGGAATTGTATAAGCACAAGCACGCAATAAATAAATAAATAACTAGTTTTAATAATATGAGTACTCATTTAAAAAATATTTCTACTTTGTTTATTGCTAAATAATATAAAAACTGTGCACAAGGTTTTTAATGCAGATTTGTTATCGCGTGAGCACAGGCTTGTTTCACAACATTTGCACTTATGCAGCTGAAGAAGAGTGTCCTATATTCAAACCTTCGTTACTAGTCCTGCAAATTTATGAATACCAATCTGATTGCTTTTTCACCTCCAATAAATTATGTGTATTTTGTTAAAGTAAAATATTACTATTGAATATTTTTTCAGATTAATTTTTTTGCGGATTTATTAGATCTGAAAACAATCTTCTTTTCTTCCATAGATCCAATGCCTTTTTCACACGAATGTCTTTGCATGTACAGAGCTGTTCGCACACTTTTTAGACGACTTTGCCTTGTTGTAAAAAATAAAACTTCGACTTAGAATTTTTTTTAATTCAATTATATTTCTGGAAGTATAAATTATCGACCATTATTTGACAGTATAGTTTTCATTCAAAACGTTGCTTTAAAGAAGCAATGGAAGGAAAACTGTGTTTGTGTTCTTTCGGAAGAAAATCATTCGTATTTAGTAATTAAAAAACGTTGTGAAAGCCGTGGTTTTAAGTTATGTTAAGCTACAATAGGCAATGCTATCAATAACAAAGCGAAAAAAACGTCAAAATTTAACTTGAAGTGGAAAAATTGTTCCGAATACCTATCCAAGGAAAAAAGGGAATGTTTCGAATGTTGCAAAAGTTAGATATTTAATGTTAAAAGAAAATCCGGCAAGTCAAAAGACAGTTACAGAATCATTAAAATGCTCAATGTAAACTGTAAAAAAAGTGATTAATGCTGATTTGAATTTTAAAAAGGCGAAAAAACATAATGTGTATAGTCTTTCTACACGACATATCTCCAAATGTCTTGCAGAATTCTTTATGAGAAACATTTCTATGGACAAAAATGGAAAAATATTATCACAATGGACGAAACTTTGATGTATTGGATTAGTCCATAAATTCGTGCGCATTTTTTGGTAAATTTTTAAATAATATAAAAAACACAATTTAACATTTTAATCAGTTATATATTTTCCTCCATTATCTACAATGTCTCGCCATCTTACAGGCAGCTTTTTTTATGCCGTAGCTATAGAAAGACTAGTTTTGATGTAAAAAAAACTTGAAAGTTCATTGTGTACAGCCTGTTTAGAATTTAATTTTTTTCCCAGTAAAAAATTTTGTAAGGCACGAAATAAGTGAAAATCACTTGGGTCAATATCTGGGGAAAAGCTCCCAATTAAATTCACTCATTTTTTGCAGCGTTGTTCGAGCCGTAGTCGGTCTAGCGTTATCATGATGAAACAACACTTTCTCGATAGTCACCAATTGTGGGCATTTTTTGATCAATTCTGAGTTTAGATGGCAAAGGTGTTCACTATAAACTTCTGAATGAATCGTTTGATTTGGTTCTAACAGTTCAAAACGTTCTGAAACGGGGTTCATCTTAATGCTGTTTTTTTCCAACTTTAAATTTTTGAAACCATTTCTTGGCAGTTCTTACACTATTAGTGCGTTCACCATGTACAATATTAATTTTTATCGCTGCAAACCCGGCAGATTCACCACACGAAAATAAAAAATGTAGCACAGCACGTTTGTACTGATTATCTATATTCATCTTCTATGGGTACTACAATACGTTCGATATTTACGAAAGTTGGTGACGAACTGAATAATATGTTAGTCAAACGATGATAAGTTTTCAACAACAGGTTCAAAATTGTATTATTTTAGTAAATGCGTCATAGTGAATTCCACGCATACTTTTAATGCGCGCGAACTTATGGAACTGTACCTAAATGACTGCAATAAAGAGAGATCCATTTATTATCATCAAAAAGAAGAAACAAAACCTTAAAATAGGATTCAAGGAATCTAAGGAAAGTTTCTTTAAGGGATTTAAGATTGTTGCTAGCTTTTTCATATAACGGCAAAATAAAAATAAAGAGTGTAGAGTTCCTCACTTTGTAATTCTAAGTTAATATTGGAAATGAAGCCATCTAAGAACTGATAAGTTCGGTGACAAGAAACAACAAGATAGAAGGGTAACTAACCCTTTATTATTTCAATAAGATTTAACAAAACTCCGCCTGGGAGTGTACAAACAAAGCCCGCACTTGGGCTTGAACTTAAAAGACTAAGAATTAAACTAAAACTAAGATTAACTAAAGAAATACAGCCGAAGCTATCAAGGTTCAAATCGAGTTGGCCCCTTAACTTATTTGACTAAGAAGCTTTGCAAGGGCCTGAATACGGTCGAGCGTAATAACAGCTTTGAGAGAGAGGGTGGCCAAAAAGGCAGACGCGCGTAAATCAGAATAATTTTTTCATTAAATATTCAGCAAGATTCGAAAACTACGTTCTGGCTGGAAGCAGTAAGTTGAAGTTAAGAATTTGACAGGAAAGGAACTTTAACTTAAAATTTAACTGTTAATAAAATTAACATAATCCTTACAAGAGAATGGAGAAAAATATGTATGAATTAACTTCTCTTTACACGCAGTGTGATCAGTCAGTAGAACTGCATTAAGACAAAGCAAGCAGCGATACGTCAAAATCTACAGTTAATTTCCTGGAACAAATGGAATAAAGACCTTGCCCAGAAAGCTGCCGATATTGCTGCAGGGTCCAAGCGAAATAAGAGCTGCTGAGTCCGGTCGCACGACAAATTACGACATCAACATCGGCTGATCCAGACCCGTGAAGGGATGATGAAGTCAGGAAAGACCAGCAGGAAGACCGTGACATTAAACCCATAATTGATTTAATGGAGTCATCAAAGAGAAAAACTACATGGCAGGAGATTTCTATTAGTCCTCATATCCTTACTAAATATCCTGATCTATCACCGATGTATTTTTGTGCTTTTGGACTTTCAAAAAGCGCGTTGGCCAAACGTTGACCTAAAGCTTCCTTAGACTTTGGAAAGCTGTTAGGCTTAATTGTCTTGGAAATTCCGGTGTATAGAGATAATGAAGAATAAAAGTTATCGAATAGAACATTTAAAACATAAAAATCTTAGTTAAAATATTTCTTTAAATACAATAAAAGTCGTCTAAAAATGGGCGAACAGTTTCTGTATTCTGTGGAAATATATCTATTCGATAAAAAGAGAATATCTTTGCGTTAATTATAATAGTATTTATTCCTCTATTCTGTGTTTTTTTAACTACGTTGAGATTAATTGTGATTTTAAGTTAACAGAGAACACCGTCTCCGGGTAATACACCGATTAATCAGGACATGTCTGTATTCAAAATAAGTATATAAAAAGTAGCACAGTTTTAATTTGGGTCTTCATTCATTCGGAAAAAAGTGTTTTTAAATTTTCCCAAACTAGTGAGGTTCGTGAATATAATAACAAAGCAGGAACGCGGAGAAATTTCAGCTTGTTTGAGAAAGCAATGCGCCACATTCCTTTCCTAAGTTCGCTTTGCATCCCCAATGATCAAACGCTTTTTGTTAGACAGATGAGTTTTTACTCAAACTTTTGTTAGACTGTCTTCCTTTCTTCAGATGATGAAGAATGGATTTAAAAAGAATGATGCTCGCACTTGAATAATATCTTTTTTTTTTCCGCCTTCATTTTGTTCGAGTGCGTTGTGTAAAAATAAACAAAAGAAAGTTCCTTTACTTGTTTCCGTTTGGATTTGAAAGACCGCCTTCTTTTATTCAGAGCCTTATTTAAATAGATTCATTTCAGGATCTCCTGTACATCTCTTGTGGTAATATTTTTCTTTTAGACGATCCGAAATTTAATTGCAAGGACAGAATATAAAGAACCCTTAGCTTCTTTTGTGTCGCGTTCTTTTAAATAACGACGATAAATAAATTTCTTTTGCTTGCAGAATATGTAACAGCAACGGAGTTATTTACATTTCGATAACCTGACCTTAACACCAGCAAAACAAACAGCTGGTTTTAAAGAACTTGTACTGTATTATTTAAAAGACTTTACAATGCAATAAATGCAAATTATAATATTAAGTATTTATGCTGTGGACCAAAAGGGATACCGTCCTACCAGCGGCCAAGCAGTAATTCTCTGAACATTGGTATTTCGATTCCCGGCAATAATCCCGACGGAAGTCCTCCCCGAAGGTATTCTTAAATTTAGGCAGATACAGGGTGATCAGCGAATAAGCCCTGATTTTTACATCTCTCTACAACAAAGATCGATAGAATTATGCGGTAAACTGTATGTTCATTAGCAAAACTGTAAAAATGGTGTACAAGAGTTTAGAAAATTTAGTTACGAAAATCGTTAACAGATGGCGCTCTGTGCGGAAAACTCTTTTCCTGAAAAGAGTAAAATAAATAAATAAATAAATAAATAAAGTGAAGCAGCCTTTGCAATCAAAATACAATTTTTTCAAAATGGTCACCGTTCGAAACATTGAGGTGGCGTAAACGAACAATGAGGTGGCGAACAATGAAATTTGACATCACGTCTTGCAATGTCTCAATGGAAATGGAATCACATGCAACACCAATCAACGATTCAAGCTCATCTAGAGTAGCGGGATTGTTTCGATAGACAGTGTCTTTTAATGCGCCCCACAGAAAGAAGTCACAAGGACTCAGATCGGGAGAATATGGAGGCCAAGCTATTCCTGTGTCAGTAAATTGCGGATAATCTGACGCAATCACTCTATTCCCAAAGTATTCACGAAGAAAGCGAAAAACTTTATCTGTTCGATGTGGTCGAGCCCCGTCTTGCATAAATCAGTTGATACCTGGTCGATACTCCAACTCTAGTTGAGTGCTGACAAATTGTTCCAAAATTGTAACGTAACGTTCAGTAGTTATCGTTTCTCGTACGAAAAAGGGTCCGATAATGCCTCTGGCGCATACCGCAGCCCATGTAGTAACTTTAGGCGAATGCAGTGCTTTTTTTTCACACGAATGAGGATTTTCGGAACCCCAAAATCTCCAGTTTTTACTTCCTTGTACGAAGTAAAAAGGAAGTATTGTAATGGCGAAAAGTTTCAGGCAACATATTTCAACGAAAATATCTATTCTTAACGCTTTAAAATTAATTCTGAAGAGAGTTTTTCGTGGCGTCTGTACGAACGTACGACGTACAGACGTACGTACGTACGTACGTATCTCGCATAACTCAAAAACGAGTAGCCTCAGAACGTTGAAATTTTGTATATAGGACTGCTGTAACATGTAGATGTGCACCTCGTATTTTGGTTGCAATCGGCCGCACCAAACGTATATAAATATATTTATATATATATCCACTCTGTTACCCGGCTTAGTGACCTCAGTTTCTTTACTCTTATATGTTTGTAAATTGTACATTTTTTGCTTTAAAAATGATTGAATTATGTTGTTTTTATCTTCAGGTTAAGGTTTTTATGACTTTCGTAATTCTGGAAGCAATATTTGTACAATTATCAACAATTTAAAAGTTGTTTAAGTGCGGTTAAGTTTTAAATAACATGGCGGACATATTTGTTTACATTTGAAACAGCAGAATTATAGATTTGTTGCCAATCTAGAGAGACTAAGCTTCGCAACACAAAAAAATCGCCTTCATTTATTATTGCGAATTAAATCATGTTTAATCCTTTCTGGAATTTTTTCGAGGAAATAAGTGTTTAAGATTTACTTCGTAATTTTTAATTCAGATATTTTGAGTTTTTATGTATTTTTGCCTTGTCGCGAAGTGAGAACTGAATTAATTGAATGAGAAATACTAAATCGTCTGTGAAAAACTGTTTCTTTTCTGTTTTGTTTGCTTAATTTCTTTCATACATCGTGTTAGCTTTATTATAGTATTTGAATAGAACATGTGGCAATGATAATTCTTCAAATGATATAAATTTTGTGCATTCAGAGTGTCGTTATAGTAAACAAATATAGTGAATTTTAAAGAATGCATTTATTCTATTGTGGTTTATGCGCTGTCGACGAAGTAGATTTAATTCAGTCCAATCAATTTAAATGAAATTCAAGAAAAAAATGCGTATAATTTAATATTTCGTTCAAGGAAGTCATGTGGTGTACACATCAGATTTTTTTTTATTAACGATTCCATTCAAATGAAAATGTGCCTCATCTGCGAACCAGTCGCAGCTCACATGAAATCTGTCGTTGTTGACCATTGTTGGAATCTGATTCGCAGAGTCACCCCTTTGTTGCACATCTTTCATGGGTATGGCCTGATGACTTTGGATTTTGTATGGAAACAGCCGTAGGCTATTTTTTAATATTTTTTGCGTGCTCGTGTACTTCAAACCTGTCTCTGATGCAATCCGTCGGATGCTTTTCTAGGATTTTACTTTACAATTCCAGAAACTTTGGCTACATTGGAGTGACTACAGTTTGCCTAGGCCCAACATTTCCCTTTCAATCATCAGCTACACTGCCAGTCCGTTCGAATTTCGCGAAGAGCATGTGAATGGGTTTCGCATCGGGTTCAACTGGAACATTGAATCGGTTTTGAAAACTGCGACGTGTTGCCGTAGGACTATGTTCTAATTGGTGAAATTCCAGAACCAAAAAAAAAACGTTCAACGGAATACATTATTTCACTTTCTACGCTAGCCTTTTTTCACCTAGCCAACACTCGTACTGATCACTTTCGAATTCAAAAGCCCATTTTTAAAGACTCTTGATAGGTCATTGCGATAAGAGCGCCATCTGTTAACGATTTTCATAGCTAAATTTTTTAAACTTTTGTACACCATTTTTACAGTTTTGCTAATAAACGTACAGTTTACCGCATAATTCTATCGATCTTTGTTGGAGAGATATTTAATTTTGAAATCAGGGCTTATTCGCTGGTCACCCTGTATGTCTTGAGTGCTCTGCCATAACCAAACAAAGCAAAACAAACCAGTCCAAACGTATAGCGAGGACCAATTAATTAACTCAAATGTAAGGCCACTGAATATGGAATGGTCGAATCGTTAGCTTTTGAGAAACGAAATCCATTAATATATTTGGTTTGCTTTATCTGATAATGGCAAAACACTCCAGGGCTATCTGCCTAAGGAAAGGGATGCATTCGTAGAGGACTTTCTATTGGAAAGTTCAAACAGACACTTGAGCCGCATATATATATGGGGTGAAGTAACATTATCTCCTCCAAAACGGTTGGCTCACGGGTTTAGCAAAGCACACCGTTGGATTCCGCAGGTCCGTGGCACGCCACTTTGACCATTCGCGTCGTCGTGGGACTTTAATTAGCCGAGATATTAATTAAAAACTAATTTCTCCCTACGTTTTCCACTTTCTTTCTTGGGTTTTCCCTATTAGAGAAATTTGGGTAAGTGCCAAATTCTTTTTTCTCGAATATCTACGGAACGGCACCGAGTTATTCGAGACGCGCATCCTCGGTTTTCAAAAAATTCTCCGAATCCATCGATACCGTTCTCATCTTCGTACGACTTTAATCGCCCGAGATATTAATTAGAAACCGCGGAAACCTTAATTTCCTCGCTAATTTTTCCGAGTGGCAACAATAAATTATTGGCGACAAATGCTTAAGCCGCTTATATATATAAAGAAGATTTGGTTAAAGTTTAACCCTCTGATAACCAAAGCACATGTCAAAATTGAAACGAAAGCATAAATATTTCAAAACTGAAACAAAAGCAAAACTGAAACAAAAGCAATTCAATAAAGTTAATAAAAGTGATATAAAATATAAAAAATTGTTGAAAATTTGTTGGTCATTTCAAAGGAGCAAACGAAGAATTTTCAACAGAGCCACGTTTCTAAATTATATGGAGATGACTGTAAAAATAGAAACATTTGAAAAAAAAAGTTTAAAAATACCAATTAATTATTAATAGTTTAAAAGTTTATAAAAGCGTAATTTGAAATTTCTAAACTTTATATAAATATACATACATACATATGTGTATGCACACACGAGCACAAATGCAGTTACCTGAATAATGTGTATAGAACGAATTTTTGCCGTCTGGTCCTACCCATTGGTCCTAAAAGAATGTCATTGTTATACTGCCTTAATCTGGCAATCTGATATACCCAGTCAAAATTTTCTTCCGACCAATTAGAATTAATTACCGGCCAGCCGCCTAGTTCTTCTAATAGTTCCAGAAGTGGCTGTTCTTTGAGCTGTTCTATGGCCGCTACAGAAAGAAAAGGCGTATAGTTAGTTAGGCACGAATAAACACTAAAGTAAAAGTAACACACTGAATAACAATTATTAGAAATTCAAACAACAGTAATCAGCATTAATATTTAGAATTTCCAGTACTAGTTTTGAAGATTTTGCTACAGGACTTCCTTCTTCAGCTGCAAGAATGTAAATGACGAAAGACAAGGTTTTAGGAGCGAGCTTTTTTGTAGCTGTAAAATGAGCTATTTTTACTTCCTTGTACGAAGTAAAGAAAGTAAAATTTGGGGTTTCAAAGTAATATTATTCAACGAAAATATTTTTTTTGACCACTCTCGAATCCATTTGAATGATTTTTTGCGTGACATCTGTACATATGGACAGAATAAAGGAACTCTTTATTCCAAAACGAATTGCAAAATGGATGTAAAACGGATTTAGCAGAGACGTTTTAGTGACGTCTGTACGTATTAGGTATGTAAGTATCTTACATAACTCAGCAACGAATAGCCACAGAATGTTGAAATTTTGTATCTGAGACTGCTACAACATTTAGTTGTACACCTGCCCTTTTTCGTTGCAATCGATCATACTAAACATACATACAGCGTGTCTCATAAATGTTACGACAAACTTCTGGGGAAGGTAGAGCACATCATAAAGTTTAAGAATTGCATAGAAACCTTGCCCAGAAACGTCAGTGTACGCCCCCAGGGGGTGTTCTACAATAGAGTGCTAATGGAAAGTGAGGATTGCCTCATTTTAAGAGGTAAGTACCATACGAAGAGAATGGAACGCTATACGAACAAAGATCTTGTGAACATGTGATTCCAACATGATGGAGCGCCTGTTCATTTTGGACTAACAGATCATTCCCGCATCGATAGATTGGGGGGAGGTGGACCGGTTCCCCGGCCCTCATGCTCAGCGGATTTATTGAGCCTTAATTTCTTTTTGTGCGGCGCCATCAAAAGTGTCATGTATCATGATCCTGCTGTGTCTGAAATGGATCTCCTGGCAAGGGAACATGTCCGACAATCAATGGTCCGTCGGTGTCAGGCATGTTTGGCGTCTGATGGTGCAAACTTCGAGCATCTGTTGTGTCATTCAAGCTGTCTTACACCATTTATATTTATGTCCAATAAATGTTTCAAATTAATCACTTGCTCTTGTTTCCTTTCCCATCTTCTACCCCTGCTACCACTTACTCCTGACATTTCCGGTCATGGGTTCCTATGTAATTCTTAATCCTTATTATGTGCCCTACCTCCCCCAGAAGTTTGTCGCAACATTTACGGAACACCCTGGATATACATTTCCACCCTGTTGTAGAGACATTAGGATATTTCGAAGGAAGAGGGATAAAAAAATGAGCAATGCCCTCGCTGGGACTCGAACCACGTACCTCTCGAATACCCGCCGAGCGTGCTGACCACTGTACCACGAAGGCATGCAAAGAAGACGGGAGAAATACCTTATAGTATTACCCGGCTCGGCGAGTTCAACTTTTATCATTCTTATATGTTGGTAAATTGTGCATGTTTTGCTTTAAAAGTTATAGTATAATGTTATTCTTATGTTCTGTAGTTTTAAGGCCTCTAGTTATTCTGCATCTAATTGTCGTAGAATTATCAACAATTTAAAACTGTAGTAATGCTAGGCCTAACGGAACCACTATCTGTTTACTTTGAAACTCTTAGCAGAATATTGAATCAAGTCAGTTGGTGCACCAACTTCAATGCCTCCTTGCACAGTGAGACCAAACGTTAACTTAAAATTTTGTGAACCGAAAATCTGGTCTTCCTGCCCATTGACCAATAGCTTGTTTTCGCTAAGAAACTCTAATTTTGATTGCAAAATAATTTTTTTTAACTGTTCGTAATTGTATTTTGTGTTTTATGTTTTTCTATATTTTACAATGTTTAGTGAAGAAGTTTTGAGTTTTTATGTAGTTTTGCCTTGCCGAATAGTGAGAAGTCAATTGATTGAATGAGAAATATATCTCTAATTAAATTCGAAATAATTAGCTCAGTGCAGGAAAACGTGTGTACAATTTAATAGGCCGTTCAAGGAAGTCATGTGATGTTCAGATCAGATATTTTGTTTCAATTTCCGTGCATGGAAAACGAATGTTAGTAGATATATTAGTTATAAAAAGAAAGAAAACTAGATTTAAATTGTGTTGAATTTAAGTTATTAAGAAAGACTTATAAAGATTCATTAACTTCATTAATTATAAGAAAGGTTCACAAATAAAGAAAATCCTGCAGATTGTGTAGTTTTCCCTTGCAGGAAATAGTATGTATTTAAAATAAAATTTTGTTCTTTAGACATAATATTCTTTCCATTGTTTCATGTTAAATTATCTACATAAATGATTAATTAATAATTTGATTCATATGAGCATTTAATAAAAATAAAAAACAGCATTTAATTAAAGAATATCAAATTAGAAGAAAAGAATTTATAAACACATACTTTCATTCATACACGAAGCATATAGATGTTTTGCACTTATCGTAGCATTGCTGTCTTCTTCAGATATTGGTTCCTCTAAAAGTTCTGAAAAGAATTCAAATATAAATTAAAAGCGTTTAAAAATTTTAATAAATCACTAAATTATAGTGATTTATTAACATTTTTTAAACTTTTCACGAAACATTTCATAGTGAAACTGAAATATCTTACAGAGAAATTTTTCTTTTAAATATTGCGCTTTGGTTAGTCAGTTTTCCAGAGGACATTTCAGATATAGATCATAAAGATTTAAATAAGAAAAGTTTTAAAACTAATATTTTCCTCCACATACTTTAATTTATTCAAAAAATGTTCCTGTTAAAGCAATATTTTATTATATTATCGAAAAATACTATTCATTTACGCGGCAAAACTAAGCTCTATTTTTCAGTTACTCATACACAGTACGTATAGAAAGTCTATTTTAACAAGCTCCAAGAAACATGCCAAAGGATAATTGACGTCCTTTATTACAATGACATTTTAATTTGTTTCTCCTAAATTATCGCCTGCTTACGAGTATATGTGTTATACTGTTAATCTTTTGATGCTATCCAGTGATTATCTACTGTTACAGATTCGAAAGCTGAGCAAAAAATAGAAATAATATTTTGTTTTTAAAGGGGAAAACAGTAGCGGACATGTTTCGAATATTGGGCAAAGCATACACGGATCAAGAATTAACATAATTTAATGATTTCTGGTGGTACGGCAGAATTTGTAATGAATGCAAAGATGTTGATAAACTTAGTTATTATCGCCTTTTGCAATATCAAGAGATGACAACATAAAAAAAAATTGACAACTGGAAAAAAATCTCATCTGTCAGTTTAAATGATCGCTGATGAGCTTACTAAACACACCGTTCACAGAATTGTAGTAGAAGCTCTTAAAAAAAAAGGTAGAAAAAAAAGAGAATTTGTCTCTTACAACTGGAATGCAACATAGGAAAAAGTCGGATTTCAAAAAGATCGAAAATCATCTGCTTGGGTGTGAAATGGCTCACCATGGCCAAAGAAGCTTCGCTTTCAGAAATTGGTTAGAAGCTATGTTTGTGCCATTTTATGATTGGGAAATAGCAATTCTTAATGAATTTGTTCCTGAAAAATAAACGGTTACCTGCATATTTAAAGAGGCCCACTACAGACTGAGTTCTGAAGACAATGCAGCGTATTAGTCTCCATAAAGCTTAACAAAGTAAATGGTTTTTGTTGCTATACAATGGGCAATACAACTCCATTTCCGTCAAGTACTTTTCAGAAAAGAAAGGCGTCACAAATCGAAAGCACATTTTTTTTGTCACCAAATTTGACATCTACAGAATACTATATACTTCTTTAAAATGAAGTCTTTACTCATAAACCATTATTTTGTTGAAGAAATTCACTAAACCCGTAACCAAAGACTTAAACAGTGTTCCAACAGGCGAGTTCTACGAAAGTATCAAATAGCTTTATAAATATGCCAAATGAAGTATGGACTTAAAAGAATCGTATATTTGGAAATAAAATAGTAAGAAGGATTTATTCTTAATGTTTAGATTTTGTATGAACTATAACTTTCAAGACGTACTCTGTATACGTGGATAGAAAAATCTTAGAACGTTATCAACTTCCAGGGTATAAGTTAGATGATAAGTTTCTCATTATCTTAAACAATATTTATTTTATGTTTGTCTTGAAAATAAAATTATAAATTCTTTACAAAGGAAAACAACTGGAAAGGGATAAAGTTTGGTTTTAGAGTATGAAGATTATTTCAAAATAACTGGCCTGTAATTCAGTTTACAACGCATCAGCTGTCTAAAGAGTGGCCATATAGAACATTAAGCTGTAAATTTTTATCTCTTATTAAAAATTGCTTCATGTTTTTATAGTTAAAGTTCAATGTTCATTGTTATTTTGTTTTATTCATGTTGCACCATTGGAGAGGTTACAGATAAGTTGTGTGGCTTTTCCCAGAGCAATTATATGCATAAAGGGGAATAATTATAATTTTCCAATCTTACAATTATGAACTAAGATGGAAATAATTTGCGTTTTGTATTTGTTTGAGCACCTAATGGTCTGCAAGAAAACCTCGAAGTATCTCATATTCATGTAATTTAAACAAAGAATACACAATGTTTAAGTATTTTTCTCACTCCTTGCTGTCTGCTTCCGTGGAGTAACTGCAAAGCCTATCCTGCTAACGATTGAGAACTTTATTAATAATTACAAATGTTAGTCCAAACATATTGTTTTCTTTGCATTTATTTTTTTAAATATCAATTTCAATAGTTTGTAATAAACGTAAATGTGAATTAAAAAAGTTTTATTGAGATTTGAAAATTTGCGGATATTTCATTAGAAAAATTTATTAGCTAGAAATTAAAAACATGCAATTTGTGATTTTTATGATGATGAAGAAATACCTGAAAAAGAACATATAGCACGAAGAAGTTCCCATTTTTCAAATATGGATTACGTATTTTGAAATGCGAGTGAAACCCTTGTAAAAGGTGCAGATGCTAGCACAAGTTTAAGTTTGTGATTATACAAATAAGACGCATAAATAGAATATCGATTCGATTGGGGGTCGTATTAAGATTAGAACAAAGCGCAGTAGGGCTATCCATCTATGAGGAATGTGTCCTTCGTGAAGCACACTAAGAGAAATTGGCTTCTACTCATGTTACAAATGGAGAAACTATCATGCAATCAGACACACCGGGACATGAATTCAGGTCGATTTATTAGTAATCAGTGGTCTTAAACGCTCAGAAACTGATGGGCTACCAATAGAAATTTATTTAATGTCAAATAATTTTTAATTTAACAATAGCTCTAATTAATATTTCACTTCCTTGGTCTCATGATTGGCAGGATATGGATGAGAATAAGAAATGTGAAATAAAAATGGCAGATTTGTAAAAGTTAAGTGTTGAAATGGAATTTGCTGTATAAATCAGAAATAGAATGCAGCAAAAATTCGAGATATGATGGAAGAACATGTCTTAAGTGTCATATATTCAGCCGCAGTACGATTAACTTGTACGGAAAATCTTTAAGACTGTTGGTTCTAATGGTATACGCAGTACAGCTCTGAATCTGAATCAGTAAGCATATGCTATTCAGTATTGGTATTACGAATTTTACATTCTACATTCAAAAACTTTTATCAACTATTTAATCAAATATTTTACGGCATTCATAAAAATAGAACATTTTTAAAAACATTTATTAGGGAAGAATATACTAAAATTGATGAATATTTCCCAAGTATACGAGGAAAAGTAAATTAATCTTTTTATTTTAGCGTTTCAAGTTTACAGTTTGCCTATGCTAATTTTTCAGATAATCATTAATCAGTAATTGCTTTCATTTAAATTTAATTTCATTTAAATTTCCAGGAGCAAAATATTTTTTCAAAATGGTCGAAGCGTGAGCTCGAATCATTTATCGTTGGCTAAATCGATAGAATCGATAGCTCCAACCATTTATCGTAGCCTAAGTCGGCATTCAAAATCTATGCCTAGAAAAATCAGAAATAGAATGCAGCAAAAATTCGAGATATGATGGAAGAACATGTCTTAAGTCTCGTATATTTAGCCGCAGTACGATTAACTTGTACGAAAAATCTGTAAGATTGTTGGTTCTAATGGTATAAACTGTTGAATAATGACTTTTTGCTGAGTTTTAAGTTTCACATTGACGTGTTTCTTTTCCATTTGAAATATAACTACATTTTTTAAAAAGTTATATTCTTAAATTAGTTAGTCTTTTTGAACGAGGTCACAGACATATTTCAAAAGACCGACTAATTTCTTTTTTATTTCACATAAATAACTTTTCTTTTCCTGATATATTGATTTGAAGTGGCGATATACCAACTTTTCTGAGAGGCGAAATCTGAATTAATTGTCTATCACATCGGAAATCGAAGTTTAAAGGATCCAATTTGCACCTTTTTCTATGTTATTTGTGAAATAATTTTCAGTACTTCAATGTGTTTTTAGAATCAGGTAAAATATTTACTCTTTTTTTTTTGGTTTGGCACTAATAATATTTTGATTACAACCAGCTGTAGATCTTTCCGATCTGTGTAGTGTTTGACTAACTTTTTATGCTTTATATTCACAACATAGGAATAACTCTTAACGTTCATCATAGAATCACTTGAAATTGTGTATAAGCTAGCCAAAAACGTTCTTGCCATTTCTGATTTGTCACTGGAAGAGTGAACCCCAGCATAAAAATAGTCACCAAACCTGGCGATGAAGTGGTTAGGAATAAGAGTCCGGACATTGACTAAGAGTATAAAAGCGCGTTGCACTAAATCATCAGTAAATCACACAGCGACTGATCGAAATGGCCGCGTCAAAGGCTCTCGTTCGGAGTTGTTTGCCATGTGATTTTAAAGTGGGCCTGTCAGCAGCAGAATCAAGTCGCCGAATTTGCCAGGCATTTGGGGATGATGCCGTTAATGCACGAACCGCTAGACAATGGTTCCAGAAGTTCTGTTCAAGGGATATGTGTCTTAGTGATGCACCACGCAGCGGCCGGCCACAAGCGCTGGATGATGAGGCCCTGAGGGTAGCCATAAAGCGTGACAGTAGCCCAACATGTGCTGAGTTGGCTGCGCACTTCCAGGTATCTGATGAAACGATCGGACTCATTTGCACCGCATAGGAAAGGCATACAAGCTGAGCAAGAGGGTATCCCACTCACTGTCCGATGGAAACAAGCAACAGCGTGTGCCGCCTGTTTGAAATTGCTTACTCGGTACCACAATGCATCCATATTTGATTAAGTACCTACCAGCGATGAAACGTGGGTCCAGTATGACACACCCAAGAGTTACAGATATTGGTTGCGAGCACACTGCGAGACCTTCTCTCCACCCACGCAAGATCATACTCTGTATCTGATGGATTAGTCACCAAGTAATGTACTATGAGCTCCTTCCAGTGGGCCAAATCTTCACGGCAAACCTGTACTCGCAACAGTTGGAAAATGTGCATTCAGGCACTGATGCATAAAGAGCCAGCATTGGTCAATCCTAAG